CTTGGTTACTTAGGGATCATACAATCATACACACTTATGGATTGGCTTGGTTACTTTGTAGGAACCAGTCCCTGTTATAGCATGCTCAATAGAAGCACAGTCCATGCACAACTTTCTCTGTACCTCATTTTGTGTTCTAGGCTTATCTTGTCTATTATAAATGCTTCCTTGAGTGTCTTCCCTTATCTTAGCTAGTACAGACATTCTGTCTCTTAGCTTACCAACCCATTAACGTATCCTAATTAGCAAAGCCATTCTGTTTCCAGGCTGCTGATTCAGCTACCTCCCTAATCCTGTCTCCTAAGAAATGAGACCTCACCCATGTCATTACGTATGTCAAGCCAGGCCTACCTTCCACTGTTTTTGGTTTCCTTTTTTATATTGCAGTTTGTTTTATTTGCATTGTATTATTGTTTTGCTGCAATTTTATCACCCAGCAAAACTGCAATATTTGTAATTTTTTGAACCACTATAATAACCAGGCTTAAAGTATGCATCAGCGTGCATAAGCTCACCTCCTCTGGTATAACTACCAGCCTGTAATCCCACATTATGGAATGGCTTTCATAGAATCATAGGACTGGAAAGGACCTCAAGAGGTCATCTAGTCCAGTCCCCTGCATTAATGGCAGGACTACGTATTATTTAGTATTATAAGTATTTGCTCTTAAAGCATTCTTTTGTAATTTTAACTTTGCTTTTATTTTAATTACATTATGAAAAACTGGTACAAAATATAGAAATCTTTCCATTTATCACCAGATGAAACAGAACATAGGCTAATTAAAATAACATTTCCTGGGTTAGACCAGAAGTGGTCTGCTTCAGCCAATGCACAATACTTGTTCTTACCAGGCCTACACTATGATGATAACGGGGAGGTAGGACTTTTTATAAACATGGATGAAACATCTGATTCATAGGTCCTTGCATAGGCACTCAAATAGTTAAACTGCATTAGAACAGTCATGGGATTATGTAGCAAATCGTGAGATTCTTATAGTGGGGGATCTGCAAAAGGGTTGCCACATGACGATGTCCTTTACTTGTCAGTAACAGTTCCAGCCTCTGTGCCATCTGGATTTCAGGATTCCAGAGACAGGCCACTGCCTTTCCTTGACACTGAAGTGCAGCAACTTCTGAATATTTTATTCATCCCCAGACATATTTATATATCTAGTGATTCTTGTTTGTTCTATATTTAACTTTATAATTTTATAAATAGCATTACAAATGAAGAAATGTAAGTATTATACGATAATGCAGTTTATACATAAATGTGTTTGTTTACAGAACGAAAGGACTATATCTATGGCCTATTACCATAATATCTGAGCACCTCTTAATCTTTAATATAGTTATCCTCACAACACCCATTATCACCATGTTACACCTGCAGACTGAGGCATGGAGAGAGACTAGGTGACTTTTGGCAGACCTGGATCCAATTCCATTCCTAGGCTAGCACCCTAATCACTGGGATGTCCTTCCTCCTTGAACATCAACTTGTTGTGAAACAACTCTTTCCATGCCATTTTGACTTAGTATAAAATCTTCAGTTTTAAACACAGGCATAGGAGGGCCTCTTTAGTAATCACTTCAAGCTTTCTGTGACTCAAGATGGTGCATTCAAACAGCTGGTAATGTAAACTTTTTTTTTGCTTAAAACATTTATTGAATTCAACACACAACTTTAAAATTTTACACAGACAACGAGTGCTCAGGTTACATGCTCGAGCAAATAAAAGTTAGCAATGAATACAAAGTGAACACAATAAACAAGGACTATTTCTCACTGCCAGACTTCCAGAGACGTTCTGAAAATTAGGTCAATATGGTATCAAACAACCAGGGCTGGAGTGCTTCACTGTTCAGTTCCATAGAAGCAGTAAAAAAATAAAATAAAATAAAATAAAATAAAATAAACCCAGACTAAAATAATCCTTTTCAGGCTAATGAGTTTTTCTGGCATGAGAATGTCCAACACTTTGCAGAACCAAGTCTCTCTTTTAATTGAAAACCAGTCTCTCTCCAACTATGCAAAATGTTTCATGATTCCTATGAACTAATGACCAGCCAAATTAGAGGTTTCTACATGCTTTTAAAATAATTAGAGCTTAAAAAAAATCAAAAAAAAATCAAGAACTTGAATTGTTTGTGTCCTGGTGACACACAAACTGCCTGAACAAACTACAATAAACCTGGTGCATAAATTCACAAATGACTGTGAAACATGGAATGTTGTTTTTGCCCACCTTCTTACTCTGAAAATTGGCTTTTAAAAATGCATTTCAAAGTAGTGTCCGGATGCCAATTAGTTAATCTAGCTTATTTACAAGGTTAAAAAAACAACAACCATAACCAGCAAATATTTTAACAGTGGCAAAGCCATTTGCAGCAGGCCCCCAACTCTACCATATTAGAGGTAATTGAAAACTTGAAGTTTCTACTACCACACCCCATTGACTAAGAGCTCTCTCTGCAGGAAGCATTTGGAAAAATAATGCGGATTTCTTGTAAAAGTAAGGAAAACCCACGGGATTTTTAAATAAACTATTTATTTCATTAAATACACCTCTACCTCAATATAACACGAATTCGGATATAACGCGGTAAAGCAGTGCTCCAGGGGGGCAGGGCTGCGAACTCTGGCGGATCAAAGCAAGTTCGTCACAACGCGGTTTCACCTATAACGCGGTAAGATTTTTTTGACTCCCGAGGACAGCGTTATATCGAGGTAGAGGTGTATTGAAATCCTAGGATACAGTCTATTATTTATGAAAGTTAGAGATGAAGTTTTGATTGAAATTTTCCCCCAAAATCAAGTGTAATTAGACGAGGGCAAAATCTGACCATGACAAAGTTGCAGGGGTTTTCTGGGATTTTGCATGGGACGCATTTCTAATTTTAAAAGAAAACAAGTGTCTCACAGGCATTTTGGATTATGTTTAGAATTACATAAGAAACAGAATAAATTAACTCCCCACGTGCCTGTCACACTTACTTTGTCTTGACTCAAATTTGCCTGGAATGCCAATTGTATTTTTAATGTTTTGTTTATGAACACTTGCCATAACAAACTGATGTCTGGTATTTCTGAAACAAAGTTTCAAGAGAGAAAAATTATTATCATTTTTCCACTAGTACAGCTAGTGAAGCTCAAGAAAGGTTTCACTATACAGCCCCCATTATCTCATATAGATAGTACGTGCCTTGTATTTAACATGTCTATTTATTCTTTTCATAACACCTGCTGTATTTCAATTATTATTTGGGACATTATTTGTGAAATCTTAATGACACCAAGATATCTGGAAAACCCTAAGGTTTGTTACAAGGGCTGTGCTGCTAGCACTGACTTTAGATTAAAAAGAAAAATTGGCACTGAAGTATTCTAGAAAGCCTGTGAAGAACTACATCAAACTTGTAAATTGATATAATTGAAGTCTAATTTTAGACCAGATTTTTATCACTTTATAAAGATAAATATAGTGTTTTAAAAGGCTGACATCAAGTGTATATTAATCATATTACTAATGCTTTATTTTCTATTATTTGTAGTAATCTCCTTAGATACTTGAAAAACAACATAATTTATTTACCAAAGTTGCCTGTCATTTTTTATTTCTTCTAACACAAGAGTGAAGCGGCCTTTTTTGTTTTGTTTTATTAGTCTGTGTACCAACATGCTTAATCATAATGCTAGCATAGCTTTTTGAAGAGGGTTTATTAGTTTGATAGTAGAGAGCAGAGAAAAACATTTCCTTTTAGGTCTTTTGTAAAGCGACTTTAATATCAACAATAGCCTGTAAAATTATTAAAAAACATCAAGGCCAGAATTAGTCATCTCAAACTAGTACATAAAATAGCACTTTCTTGTTTTAATGGAAGACTGATTTCAAAAATTCATACTCAAGCTGTTTCCTCAATACTCACAACTGTTTTCCCTTTGTGATTCAACCCTAATACAACTGTATGGATGGAATACAAAACTAATTCAAAGATATCTAACTTTGATTAATGAATTGCAGATAGCATGACTCCACTGAAACAAGAAGAGGAGCTGTCATGGAAGAACACAATTTTTTAACATAGAAAAGGCTATTGGCAGTGGTAACTTATACTCATGTGTCTTAAGAGGATTTATATGAAACAGTACCAGCCCTACGCAATGCATGATCCTAAGCACATCCCATAGCTAGTCACACTTGTGAAGGCAAATTGAGACATCCAAGATCAAGAGAAAGATTTCCACTACTATTTCTATCTGAAGTCCTAAACCAGCAATTGATATTGAATGGGCAGATTGCTTTAACTGTGTCGAGCCTCACTGGCTTCAATGGGGCTCAGCACCGGTGCAACAATTTGCCTGCATACTATTCATTTAGTTTGCTGTGTCTATACAAATACACCTCGCACAGCAGGCAACCAGTTGCAAGAAAGAAATGATTAAATTGTGTGAATACACTTTGAGCCATTCATCTGACAAGTTCTTGAAGATTGTATAAAAATAGTCAGCATTAAACTGTTTCCTCTCTTCAAGCTGATGTGTATTTTAAACTACCGAGAACTGCAGAAACCAACCAAATTAATAGCAGGCTAGTCTGTGTCCCTCTACAACTCCACCTGTAAGCACTATTCGTTAATGCTACTGTCAGCACCCTAAAATGAAATGGGCAAAATGAAGAAAAATGAGAAGTATAGTTAGTGAAAACCAAGAAAGGGAAAAAGCAGCAAAATAGGAGGAACTAAACCTGCGAGACAGAACACTTATGGTGAGTGGAAGGCATGCTGCACTGCATAGGAGATGCTCAGCACCTCACAGAATCATAGCCCAGAGGAGGCGCCAGAAAAGGCAGTTGTGTTACTTGCCTCTGCACAATAGTCTCTCTCCTCACCCAAGAGCTTTCTTGGACACTAAAGTTGAGTGGGCTACCACCATACTTAATTTAGGCATAATACTCAACTCCCCCAAAAAGATGTGAAAAGGGTTGAGAATTACACAATTCAGAGAAAGAAACACACATTACTGATATACAGTAAGTCACTTTTTTTATGATCCAGTGAAGATGACACTGGCTTGGAAAAGGAACTGTAACCCAGGTAACACTTATTCTACTGTTGCATCCTTTTCGGTACACTTACCTCATAGCTACACTACATGAACTATTTGTCATCAACAGTAACTGTTTTAAAAACACATTTAGGTCACTTAGTCTGCGACAAGCACAAGACCCAGGAAAAGGGTATGAGTGCAAGAGCTTAAGTGACCCCATACTCAGGAAAAGAGTATGAGTGCAAGAGCTTAAGTGACCCCATACTCAAGTAGGACTCTTGAACTGCTACTCCCATGTCCTGATCAGTTCCAACTGGGTTCTGGTTTATAGCTAACAGATTGAAAAGAAGATGTTCTGCTTCTGCTGTCATGCTAGGAAAACACATAGCAAACTGTATTATTAGGGACCGTGACCAGGCATGTGTTTCATAGGCCAGCAGCTGCACAAGGCACCTTGCTCAAAGACACTAGTCTCTCAGCTTACTATAAGGAGACACATTGAAACTGCAAGGCAGTGAATTTAAAACTGAGATAAGAAACTGCTTTTTCTTTTATGCAATGCGTAACAAACCTATTGAACTCCCTGCTTTAAGAGAAAAGTGAAGCCATAATTAGGTATTTAGATAGACGAGAACATCCAGAGTTACGTTAGATAGGATAAAAGAGTTTTTTAAAAGGATGTAAGTCCCCATGCTGCAAGGCATAAGTCAACCTCTACCAGCGGTTAGAATTTGCTTCTGTGGGCAGGTTATTATGTAACTGGCCATTATACGACTTTTTGCACGCTAACAATACAGGACTTATTCCTGGTCATTGACAGAGACAGAATACTGAACAAAGATGGTCAATATGTCTGATGTAGTAAAGTAATTCCTACTGTTTGGTCCTTTCTTGTGTAATGAAGATGTCATGTTGGTGATTGAATTGGCATGGAAAGTCCTCCATGCACACGTGAGTGTTTGTTAATGTCACAGTTATGGTTGGCCTTTACATAGATGTTCCCTATCTTGTAAATGAGTTCTGAATCACAGTGGATATAAACTCTACAGTAGGGTTATCAAGAGTCTGTGGCACATCATTAATTTTGGTGATAGATTGTCATGTCTACAGTAATACAAAATAAACTGTAAAACCAATATAACAGTGTATGCATGAATATAAAAATAAACCACACCATCAATATGTAACTTTAATACGCCATCCCCAAAATAGTCATCTTCTCAACAGTCTTGCATACTGAGGAGTTGGTTCTCATTCTCATATCCATCAGGCAGGTACGTTTTCCTTAACTGATCTGACTGCGGAATGGAACTACCATTCTTCACATGGCGAGACAGGAAAGCTCGCACCGATGGATGGTCAGCTTTCTCAAGTGGGATGTTAGCTTCCAAGCACATCTTCACAAAGTCCTGGATGACACTGATTTTCTCTGTCTGAGTAGCACTGTTGCATTGGAGAGAAGCAGTCAGAGCCCTCGGCTTCTTTCTGACACTCTGCTCTTCAAACTCTGCCTTCCGCTTTGTATGAGTTTTAGACTTGAGATGGTCATTGATTGCAGATTTGCGAACGTGATTCAGGACCATATTGCAGGAAGTACAGAACAATTTCCCTCCATCTTCATGCAGTTCACTCCCAAACTCGGTTACACGATCCTGAGGGGTCACGTACAAAGCTGTCTTAGAACGGTTATGGGAAGGAGTAGCTTTCACTCCAAGTCGCTCCATTGTTGTTTTCACTAAGCTACTTATAAAAAACAAGAGAAATACATATCAGATTCATGTAAGTCAAGTGTCCTAGGCTCCACATTTATATATCTAGATGTATTTTATTCACTTTAGACATAACTGTGCAAAATATTGTACATGCTAGATATGACCACCAGGAAGATAATGTGAGAGAAGTGTACTTAAGAAACTACATATAAAAACTTCAAAATAATTTAGATATCCCATTCAATTATCCCACAGTAGTCTGAGGAATCCAGAGTTTTACTTATGATTCAGATTTGTTTGGTTAATAAGTCACCTTGAACAGCCTGTGGGAGACACAAGGCCCTACAGCTAGCTATTTTAAAATTTGTACACCAACTGGCTGACATGGTATTTATCTTGAACAACAGACAAATTTCCAGGAGCTGAGACAAAATTACATGAATAGAAAAATGTGTAGCCTCATGTCATGGTGAAAAGGTTTCTGTTGAGGCAGAAATTTCTCATGAACTAGGGTAAAATGTTCAAAAGTTTCTATAACTGCAGAACGGACAGGACCCAGTTTGAAATAAATTAAAACTGCTCATCACTGGAAATTAGATGTGTATTTTAAGAAGAGATTTTTACTGTTCAAGAAATGTAGCTTCTTCCCAACTACTTTTATTAGACAAACATTGCACTTTGATGCCTAAGTGCTGTTTTGAGAGTAAACATTGCTTCATTCTGTTTACCTCCTTCGAATCAATACAATTTATTCCAGGAGATACACACTTCTCAAACTATGTAGTATTAACAAGACATTGCCAAATATTGCTAATGGAAACACTTGACCCTTTGTCAGAACTGATTTGAGAATATCCACCCCTTATCTGCTCATATCCCAAATATGTATGTATTTAAAGTAGAATCTGGGTTGAGTTTTAAGCAATTAGCAAACGGAAAGCCCTACTGATCATAGCATTAGAAAGGAACAGGCAACGCCTTGTGCTTTCACAGGGCCGCACTGAAATCACATTGCAAAAGTGGGGCCTAGGTTTTTCAAGCATGAGGTGATGTATCTCTGAGATGAATGCACAGCTGTTACCTCTGTTCGGCCTAAACCCTTCAAAATAACTCGTTTGCTGTTACAGAAGCAGCGTGCAGCCGGTGCCTGGGGAGGGAGGAGAAACTGGAACAGGGGTTGTTAGAGCGATGATGTCCGGTTCTCGCTAACACCCACCCACCGGAACCCGCCCATCCTGCCCCTGCAGCAGACCTATCACCCCGGACTGCAACCCCCGCCCCCCGGCACCGTTACCCGCCCAGCCGCGAGCCCCCCCACCCAGGCCGGAGGCGGTGCCGATCCCGGCTCCCCGCGCAGGGCCAAGAGCGCAGCGCAGCGCTCCCCCCTCCCGCCCCTGTCCCATCTTACCGCCGCAGGGCGGACGGGGCCCGGCCGGGCAGCCCCCGATCTCCGCCCCCTGGCCAGCGGGCCCTGCACAACCAGCGGCTACAGCGATTTACCCACCCAACCAGCCGCGGTAGGCGGGACTTGGCAACCTAGCAACGTCTGCTCCAATCAGTGAGCTGTTAACCTAAAGAAAGATGCGAGGGACTGGTCGCCTTGCTAGATTGTAAAAAGATGAGCAAAGCTTCCGTCCAATTACAAAGTTGGGGGCGGAAAAAATCTTATGGTTGAGAGCTCTTTCGTCCAATCTGGAGGGGGGGAATACTACTATGATGGACGGCTATAAAACCCAATCATATGTAGGAAAAAAATGGATTGACTTCACTTCTTACCAATCACAAGGCAGAACCGAAGTAATGAAGATAGTTTTCATCCAATCAAACGCACGCGATCCGAGACAGGGCGAAGAGAGGAGTTAAGGGTGAGAGATCGTTGGCTGCTCTTCCCTCCTCCCCACCGTTAGCAGATGATTGGCACCTGCAGTAGCCCGTGAGATCGCGGCCGGTGGGAGGTGCCGGATGTGAGGTAGTTGGCAAGGAGGCGGGCCATCCGGTGTGTCGGGGCGAGGGAGGGGGGCTCGGTACGCGCAGGGTGGCCGGAGCAGCATGGCGGAAGACGAGAGCGACCAAGAGTCGGAGCGGCTCGGCGAGGAGCTGGAGGCCATCGCGGGGCCGCGTATCCTCGCCGGGGTCTCGCCCGCGCTCAGTAGCCAGTATTACTGCCGCCGCTTCTGCCAGGTGAGCCCCGCCCCGCCTCCGGGCCGCTCCTCGCCCCTCCCCCAAGCCTGGGGGGTGTCTGGTTTCTTGGGGGCTGTTCGGTTCCCACGGGTGGGGGGAGGGCGGTTCGGTTCCTCCCTCGGGCCCGCGAAGGGGGAGGGGGCCCGTCCGGCGGGTGTCGTCCCGTCCCCAGAGCGGGGAGCGCAGTCTCGCCCTCCCCCCTCCGAGGGGTCGGTTTGGGGCCTTTGCCCGTCACCGGGGCCCCGTTTGGATCCGAGCCTTGGCTGTGGCTGGGAGCGGCCCCTCTCCCCGCCCTGTGTGCGGCCTCCTCCCCCGGCTGCCGGATCCCCCCCGCGGCCTTCCCCGGTATCACGGGTGGGGTCGGAGGGTTGCGCTGGGCGCTCGAGGGCTGGCCGGGGCTCGGGCGTGTCTACGCTGGGGAAGTGAGGTCTGGGACAGGCAGGGGTGGGTGGGGGAAGGGTCATGGGTCGGGGCACAGCGGGGTGGGGAGCTGTACAGCCACCCCAGGTTAGGCGTTGGTACCACACACACACACAGCCCGAGAAATGGCAGCACAGTTTTCTCCTGCGCTGGGGGCCAAACAGGTTGTGTGGCTTTTGTGTGACTTGGGGTGTTTGGAGGCGGCGGGGAGACTTCTGACACTGACTGTCAATAGGAAACACCCGTCTACACGTAGTGTCTCTCCTCGCGTACTACCGGGGCCCTCCTCTTAACGCCTTTCCTAATGGTGGGATTGCCTCCGACATTGATCTTGAAGTGGGTTCTTGACTAGCTAACCAGAAAACTGCAGGAAGTTTTTCCTGTATGGTTTAATTGGACACCAGGCAGTACAATTGAGGAAGCATTGTCCCATTTAAGTGCCACCCAGTTAGCTATCTAGAATCTGGCCTAGAAAAATTCGGTGAATTTATTTCATTTCTAAACTTCTGACATACAGTTCCAGGAAATTTGTTGGGGGGTGGGGGGTCGTTTACCAAAGTACCATATTTTCTCAACAGATAGTGCCAGAATGCCAGATATTTTGTGTTTTCAGTAGTTTGCTTTCCTGTTATTTCGTTGAATGGGACACTAACTTGACATTGGGTGTATTGAGATTTAGACTAAGCTCTTTGGTTCAGGGACTGCCCATTTGTTCTGTGTTTGCACAGAGGCTAGCACGCCATGGTCTTGGTCCATGACTGTGAGTGCTGTGCGTTATGGTAGTATAAATAAAAAATAACTAATGAGTTGAAAATAGTTTGGTAGTGGTTTTACAGCTACATTTCTGTTGTTCATACATTCCTTTTCCCCTTTGTTGTGAGACACTCATATAAACATAAACTGCCAGTACACAATGTCAAAAGTACAAACTGAAAAATCTGTCAAATATTTCAGTTATAATAATTTAATTGTTGCTTGCAACAATAGTAGGCAAAAATATTCAGACAGAAGTTGTGACTTTGAAATTGATGGGTTTTGTTAATTTTGACAGGGGAATGGTATACTGCTTTGTCCAAGGATAGGGGTTTTGCTTTAAATCTTTCAAGTGAAACTTGTTTTGTAATGCACCCTTTTGCCTCAGGAAGAGGTGCTGGTGAGGTGATAGTTGTATATGCTAATCCCACCACCACCCACACTGAGATGAATTAATAGGCAACAGGAAGAGGCCAAGACCAGAGAGGGAACTTGGATACAAAAATGTATAATCCATTTTATTAGCAATACAGTGTTTTAAATCCCCAAACAGTTGGGTTTTGCTGCAGTCGTGTTGGCTAGAGATTTTAACAAAACTTTTCCACCCTCTTACTCTTCTGTTTGAAGAGTAGAGGTGGGTGCTAATTTTGAGTGTGTGAAGGATGCAGTTTTCTTCAGTCAGTATACAAATTTTCAATAATCCAAATAAAAGTGAGTGTCAGTAAAATTAGTTTTCATTCTATTGGATTTTTAATGTTGGCCAGATGAACAGTAAATGCACATTTGTGTGCTTATTCAAGGCATAATCCTTGGAGTCTTGTGAAAGTATCCTTGAGTCTCAAGGCTTGTTAGCATAAGGCAGTGGTTTTCACACTGGGATATGTGAGCTCTTGTCAAGAAATATGTGGAAAAAAATCCTATACTGGTGGACAACACATTTTATTTAATAAGACTTGGCAATCCAATCATGATTAGGGTCATTACATATCTCACATGGGGATACAAGGTGGACTACATTATTTGGAAAGGGTTACACAGCCTAAAAAGTTTGAAAACCACTGGCATAAGGGATTTCTATACCAGTGTAGCTGCATTATTCCAGACTCCCAACATAGAGGAGCTGCAGCTGTGTAAAGCAGGGTTTGCAGCTATGATTTATCATAGTTTGGAAACAGATTAAGTTGCATAGATACAAGCCCTATATTAAATCAATGCAGAACATCTATAGTGAGGTTTGCAGTGGTGCAAAAAGCCCTCAACCTCAGTCTGCATGCAGCAGAACTGCTCACTAATATAGAATGATGACATAGATGTATTTTCCCGTTACTACTTTTCTAGATCCCAATGACTTATAATTCTGTCTCAATTTGTTGTCTCCTTTTAAAACTGTCAGAAACATTCCATCTTGCTACTAAATGCTATTTACTTTGTCATTCCTTTTCTCATTTAGCTATTTTCTTCCTTCTCTAAACAATATCTTCTCTTCACTCAGTTCAGAACCCATCGCAACATTCTAGGCTCCTGATCTGAGCTTTGTGCTGATTTAGTTCGACCAAGAGACAGGCCACTTCACAACCTCCTACCCTCCTCCCTCCCTTTTGTACCAATAAAAAAGCTTGTACTTCTCCTTTCTAAAGTTCTTAAGTAGAGTGCAATTTAATTAATGTCACTATATTCCTGTTCCTTGGTCAAAGAGAAGAAGCAGCTGTGTGGGTAATTGCTTAGAAAAGATGCTATGAGGTTGAACTGCCTAAAGGAAGCGATTTGTTCCTTTCCAAAATAGCAAGTAAACTGTTAAAATAACTAGGTTGTAAGTTAATATGGACAATGGTATAAATCAGCATCACCAAATTTATTATTGCTGGTCCAGGTATAATCCCGCTACGCAATCTGAGTAATGTATACACAGATGATTTTTATGGTTCGGGTATGTTATAAAGTGGTACCATGTGTTTGAACAGAAGGACCCCTTACTCTGTTGAAGTGTGCTTTATTGTATTGGAATTTCAATTTAAGGTAGTGGTTGAAGAGGCAGCTATGACAATATCTCTGTTGTATATTGTATATCAAATAGTGCTTTTCTAGATAGGTGTGCCTACATTTTAATAGGGTCAGAACAGATTC